GCACGCACGCACGCACGCACGCACGCACGCACGCACGCACGCACGCACGCACGCACACACGCAGTATCAAAGAGACAAACAGCTAATTAAGAAACAAGAACTTAAAAATACATGTTTTTCAATGACAATGTGGAAATGGATAACCAATAAATGAAAAGATGTTTGACCACTGTGGTAGCTTGAATGAGAATGGCTTCCATATGCTATTGTTTATTTTCCACTCTTTATTCTTTAGGCTTTTGGGGGGAACCTGCCACCCAGCTCCCAAATAAATCACAGAGGCTTATTATTACTTATAAACATCCAGCTTTATCTTAGCTTGTTTTATGCCAGCTTTTCTTAACTTTAATTATCCCAAGTATCTTTGGCTTAGGGCTATCTTTATCTATTCATATACACCTTTCTTTCCTTCTTACTCCATGCCTGGCTATGTAGCTAAGGGGTTGGCCCCTGAAGTCGTTCCTCCTTCCTCTCCTGTTCCTTCTTCCTCTCCTTCCAGATTTCTCCTTCTACATATTCTGTCTGCCTGCTAGTCCCACTTATCCCTTCTCCTGCCTCTATTGGCTGTTCAGCTCTTTATTAGAGCAAGCAGGTATTTTAGGCAGGCAAAGAATAACAGCTTCAGAGTTAAACAGATACAGTATAAACAAAAGCAACACATCCTTGTATTATTTAATGTTCCACAGCATAAACAAAAGTAACACACCTTAAAATAATATTCTACCACACTCACAGGCTCATGTTTGAATACTTGGTTCTCAGTTGGTGAAACTATTTGGGAAAGGTTAGGAGATGTGGCCTTGTTGGAAGAGGTGTGTAACTGGGGGTTGCTTTGAGGTTTCCAAAGCCCATACCACTCCAGTTAGCACACGCTCTCTCCCCCCCCCCCAAGTTGCTGCCTGCAGATCATGGAAGTAAGTTCTCAGCTATTGTTCTAGTACCATGTCTGCCTGCCTGTTGCCATGTTCCCCAACTGTTAGCCATGGACTAATCCTCTGAAACTGTGGAAACTCTCTTCTATAAGTTGTCTTGGTCATGGTGTTTTGTCAGGGCAATAGAAAAGTAATTAAGACAATTTATTAGCCATTAGGAAAATGTTTATCAAGACCACAATAAAATACCACTTCATACCCATTATGATGACCAAAATGAAAAGGTCAAGTACTAAATAGTGGCAAAGTTGCAGGAAAACTGGAACCTTTATATGGATTCTGGGAAGGTGAAATGGTACCCAATTTGAAAAAACAGTTTGATAGTTCCTTAAAAAGTTAACACCACATGATCCAGTAATTCCATCCAGAAAAACTAAGGAACAAAGATTGAAGAAATACTTGTACATGAATTTTCATAGCAAAAGACTATTTAACTGAAAGGAAATAATACATAAATTATCTGTGGAATACGACATATGAAGTGTCATTCATTCACAAAAAGGAAAGACATACTAATATATGCTACAGCATAGACACTGCAAACACATTACATTAAGTCAAAGAAGCCTGACATAAAAAGTCATAAATTATGTGATAACATCTATATGAAATATCTAGGACAGGTAAATCCATAGATACTGAATTGCTAGGGTACAAGGAAAGAGACAGAAATGAAAAGTAGCAGTTTAAGGGATACAGCTTTTCTTTTAGAGGGTGATGAAAATTTTTAGAATTTGATATAGGCAGTGGTTGTACAACTGTGAATGGACTAAATGCCATTGAGTCACTGAGTCATATACTTCAAAATAGTTTGTCATGTGAATTTCACTTCAATGATTTAAAAGGAAAACATCACGGTGGGCTGGAGAGATGATGGCTCAATAGTTCAGAGCACTTGTTGCCCTTGCAGACTTAGGACTAAGGTTTGGTTCCCAACAATCACATGGCAGCTCACAACTGTCTGTAACTCCAGTTTCAGTAGAACCGATGCCCTCTTCTGGCCTCTGCAGGCACTGCATGCATGCGGTACACTTAACTACATGCAAGCAAAATACTTACACAAAATAAAAAAAATCCTTAGAAAAGAACATGGTGATATTTTTCTACTAACCCGGTGAATAATTCCAGCAGAGTGAAGGTGCTTGATTCCACACAGCATTTGATAGAGAAGGTAGGACATTCTTTCATGATCTAACTCCATCTGAATCACTTGGCAAAGATTTGCATCCATGAGCTCCATGACTATGTAACTTCATGGGTAGAAAAAGATGACAGCTAAAGTGTATAGTAACAATCTATGGATAGGTACTAGCAAAACTTTGTATTAACAGCATCTTAATTACCACACTTACACATCTTGAAATTCTTCTAGGGATTTCTGTGGTGTGAAAACATTCAAAAGGCCAATTATCTGTGGCAAAAGCAAATAAATAAAAACATTAGAAACTACTTTCTGATGCTTCATTTGGGAACTGCAAATACATGTGTTATAATAATTAACTATCAATTTTAAATCATTCCAGTTTTATATACTAAGCACAAATAAACATATATACTTACTAAAATTTCATTACTAGGAACTTAAGAAGAGAAAAAGAATGACCAGGAGGCACAGAAGATCTTTGAAGCAAATGAAAATGAGTACTATAAAGGTGGAAATTTATATATATAAATACCATACACTAATTCAAACTCATAGGTTCTCTTATACCAAGTGAACATTAGGGGCTGAGAGTATATTTAGCAGTCACGTTTACTTAGCATGCATAGGCCCTGGGTCAATTTCCTAGTACCCAAAAGAAAAAAAGAACAAAGTGTAATCTAATGCAAATTATGGACTTTGGGTGATACATCAATGCAGGTTATCAGTTATGACAAATGTACTACTCAGATGGTGGACACTGATTTTGGGGTTTACATACAAGGGCAAGGGATACGTGCAACCTTGTATCTTTCTCTCATATTTGCTAGGAAACTGTCCTAAAAGTCTTAATATTTGCTGACACATTATGTAGGTATTTATATAAAATAAGTGCTTGATAGGGTATTCATAAATAGAAAGTGTTATGTGAAGTCCTTCCATTGATTTTGAAGGCCCTTACTGTCCATGTCATTCCCATATTCAGCAATACTGTAATAGAATCTCATTCTCATGACAAGTTCATCCTAGACCACATTGGATCCTTGTTAGAAAGAACTAGCTGATGTGCTTTTATAGGCCAGTATGCAACGATGCACTTGACTTACATTTTTAAATGTCTGCTGGCAATTTAGGACATAATCTTCATGGGACCACAATGGATGCCATTCATGTAAGCATTAAGTTCTGCTTACAGAAGGCATCTGCTAGTAAATATTCAGAAACACATTAAACCCAAGGGTAAAACTAATTATTTAAGACTGACGGAGAGATGGCTCAATGGTCAAGAGCACTGGCTGTTCTTCCAGAGGACCTGGGTTCAACTTCCAGCACCTACATGGTAGCTCACACTTGCCTATAGCTTCATTTCCAAGGGATGTGACACCCTCACACAGACATACATGCAAGCAAAACAACAATGAACATAAAATAAAATCCTTAAAAATTTTTGCCGGGTGGTAATGAAGCACACCTTTAATCCCAACATTCCATTCGTAGGCAAGGCAAGTGGATCTCTGTGAGTTCGAGGCCAGCCTGGTCTATAGAGCAAGTTCCAAGACAGCCAAGATTAGACACATATATAGAAACAAAAATGGGGTTAATGAATGCTCAGAGCTGCTAGGTGTGGGAGATAGAGGAGGACACCTAAAGGACATTGGGTTTCTTTCTGGTTACATATATTAGTGAACATATTAAACTACTCAACTATATACTTCACATTGGTGAACTGAATAGCATTTGAATTGTATCTTACTGCACTTCCGTAAGGCAAATGAAAACATAGCTGTTTTATTTTTCAAGAAAGCAAATAAATCATCTTAATCAGATTAGACAGTCATGAAAAAGGCAAACAAGGACTGACTAGTGGCTAGGATATGGCTAGCTACCAAAGAATTAATAATTACCACAACCAAGTAAAAACTTACTGAAAAATACTCTTTTCCTCTATTAACAAAACAACAAAGAATAACAGTAACAGGAATAATGCAACTAGAGATAGTATATAAAGATTTCAAAGACATATTTTTAAAAATGTTTCTAATAACATGCATGTGAACACAAAGAATTAGGGGAAACTGAGTAATTCTGATAGTTAAGAATGTCAATTTCTACTATATGCTTAGCAGTTCCAGCTATTATGAAGACAATCTGAGCAATTCTCAGAAGTAAAGTCAGTCAATGTAAAGTTAGAATGAAGAAATGGGGGGACCCCTAACACTCTGGGGAGAACAGCCACACTTTACCATTGCTATCTAAAGAGGAATAATAGGAAGTACTATTTTTTTATTTTTTATATATTTGAATTACAAACAATATTGAATTACATGACGTTCCCAGTTCCCTTCTCCCTCCCTCCCTCCTCTACCATCCCCCCAACTAAAATCCTACCTATCATATGTCCTGTCTTCTAATCTACGCCTGACTCAAAATTTCTGCTTCCTCATGACCTCTGCATCCTTCCTTTTCTTCCCTTCTCATTCTCGTAGCTTCCTCCCCCTCTTCCCATGTTCTCAATTTGCTCAGGGGATGGTGACCCTTTCCCCTTCTCCAGGGGACAAAATTTGTCTCTTTTAGGGTCCACCTTGTTTACTAGTTTCTCTGGCAGTGTGGATTGTAGTATGGTAATCCCTTACTGTATATGTCTAAAATCCACATATGAGTGAGTACATATCATGTTTGTCTTTTTGTGATTGGGTTACCACCCTCAGAATGGTTTCTTCAAGTTCCATCCATTTTCCTGCAAATTTCAAGATTCCATTGTTTTTTTCTGCTGAGTAGTACTCCATTGTGTAAATGTACCACATTTTTTCTATCCATTCTTCAGTTGAGGGGCATCTAGGCTGCTTCCAGTTTCTGGCTATTACAGATAGTGCTGCTATGAACATCGTTGAACAGATGTCACTGTTGCATGAATGTGCATCTTTTGGGTATATGCCTAAGAGTGGAATTGCTGGATCTTGTGGTAGACTCATTCCCATTTTCTTGAGGAGTTGTCATACTGATTTCCAAAGTGGCTGTACAAGTTGGCACTCCCACCAGCAGTGGAGGAGTGTTCCCCTTTCTCCACATCCTCTCCAACATGAACTGTCATTGATGTTTTTGATTTTAGCCATTCTGACAGGAGTAAGATGGTATCTCAGAGTTGTTTTGATTTGCATTTCCCAGATGGCTAACATTGTTGAACACATTCTTGTGTGTCTTTCAGCCATTTTAGATTCCTCTATTGAGAATTGTCTATTTAGTTCTGTACCTCATTTTTTAATTGGATTGTTTGGTGTTCTGGAGAATAGCTTCTTGAGTTCTTTTTTGTGGTATTTTTTTTTTTTTATTTGAGTTACAA